ACTTTTAAACTCTTAATTTAGAATTAATAAACTTTTAAGCAGCTTATAAGCTAATTTTATCAAACATAAAGACTTCCATGTCTTATTATAATATAATATATTGAATATTTTTTACTATTTCTTTTAAATATATTTATTAATTTTATTTGATTTAAAGAGTAAAAAAAATGCTTTTCCCACTATCCCAAATTACTGTTTTTTTATATTTAAATTTACCAGCATCTCATTATTAATGTTGTGTAAGAAAAAAAATATAAAATAAGTGTTATTTTAACTTTTTAATATAATATTAATATTTTTTTATTTATACTCCTAATAATATTTTTACAAAATTGTTGCGTTGCATCATTTTCAACAAACAAAATTAATATTATGGTTAATTTTATAAAATTATTATTTTCTTTCACCTATTTATTAATTTTTCTTGATCTATAAAAAAAATAATTAAACTTAAGATGAAACTTATTATTTAAAGATAGAAAAAGTATTTATTTTTCTTAACCTTTTGGCTTTTTCAATCCACTGTTTTTATCTTTATTTTAAAATTAAATTTCAATATTTGTTAAAACATATATTATCAACGATTAAAAATAAAATTTTAGCATGATATAAAATATTATCATAAATTCAAAATATAATTTATGTATTTAAGAATTTTTATTTATGATAAATTTTAATTATATAAAATAAATATTTAGTAATGTAACATATATCTAAATAAATAATTACTATATATCTAATAAATGAGTTACTGATCCAAAAATAATAGTTGAAATGCATGCACACACTTCATTTTAGAATTGACAATGTTGACTAGATTCACATGAACTAAACAAATGATCCATCATCTAGGTATCTTTGTCTGGGAATAAGTGAACTTGTTGTCTGAGATATTTGACCTTGATGCAACTATTTTTCTAATTTTAATACCTTCACCATACTGGCAAGTGGCCAGTGTACATCTTCAGCCATGTGAATCAAAATTTAAACGTTAAATGCAGTAACAACCTTGCATGAGATGGGATAGTGTCCTAGTTCAGTAGTTTGTACCAGCTGGGGACCACAATTGCCCTAGCTAAGCCACTGACATTGGTGAACATGGAAATGTGCAGACTGTAATTAATGACTCGAGGGTTTTCTGGTTTGAAATTAAATGCGTCATAGGGTAGCTTACCAAATTTTGTACAAACATATAATGAAAACTTACCATTGAGATGTTATGGGATAAGCTTCCAATTCCTAGTAAATTTTATGTTAATTTTTGCTTAGAAAAGTTTCTAGTTAGATTATTTCATGTTACTAGGAAAGTGAATAAAAAAAAGACCAGCAGAACTACTAGTTTTTTTGTTTTTTTAAATAATTTTCTTTTATAAATAAAAACTGTGGAGATGAAACTTTATAATTCCAGAGGTAAAAAAAATATAGCTAAAATTCCTCTTTTTGAAGATATTTTTCATAGGAATCAAGCTAAGAATCTTTTTGAAGCATATTATAAACTGTACACACTCATATCTTGCAGACATCACATGTTTCTACTATATCAAACTCTCTTTAGTAGAACTATTAATTAGTACACACAAGATTTTTTATATATTTTTTTAATAATGATATACATGCAACAATTGGTATAATATCATTTTTGTTTATCTTTTTTCATCATGATACAATAGAGAGATATACAAAAAGAAAATAAAAGATGGAACTACTTACCAAAACCTTCATATTCAAACTCAACAAGGGAATCGGTAACTTGATCAGTTCTAATGCTCGCAACGAATCACACTACACTATGATCCTTCTAGAATATTTTTCTCATACGATCTTAAGATCATAATAAATTTTCCATAATTAGGTCTCAATCTCAGTATTTTTGTCCATGTTTTTTTTCAAGATACCATTTAAAATTAAATGTCAACGCAACTCTTATTAATATTCATAATTTCAAATTCGATTATGATTCATCATGTTACAAAATACTAGTTGATGGAAACCCTTTCTATATGGATCAAAATTCAGCATCTCTCAAAGATTAAGAATACAAAAAATATGAAGAAAGATCAAAATGAATAGATAGCGAATGAAATGCCACACTACAATTATAACATGATTGATGTCAAAAGAATAATTTCCTTTAAAAAAATGATTTATTTAATTAGAATATCTAAATAAATTTTACATGATTCAGTTGAATAGATCGAATTGAATTTTACATTAACAGACTAAATAAATTATAGACAAATGAATTCTTTTGCTACCCTATTGTATTAGAACAACCTATATTCTCTTACCTTGATTACCTTAACAACAAAGCATTACTGAAACACCAATCAAGCAATGCAAAAGAAGAAAAATGGAGCGTATGCAAACTATTTTACATATTACAGAAAACACACAATCATGAATCGCCTAATTGGCGTTTGATTATTGAAAAGAGAAAGTATACATCAGATGTCGTTTTGATTGAAATATCCAGATAACAGGAAGAAAAAAAAAAGTGTTAAATAATATGCATAACATAATACATCAATTATCATCCTCCTCCTCATCCTCCTCGTCCTCCTCATCACCGATAATATAGTATAACAAATGAATAACAAATAATTTTCATGTTTCCATAATTAAAGAAATAGTTTCTGCACAGGTTAAAGTATATCCATGTTTTTTATTTATTTTTACTTTTAAAATTTTAGAAAGGCCCAATCACAACTAAGAAAAAAATGGGGAGACGAAAATGAGCTACAACTAGCTCAGAATAGATCAATCGAACTATGCTCAACAAGTATTCAATTTCATTTTAATTCAGAAAGAATTGGACCATTTACTTATTTTCTCCCATAGACAAACCATTTAGCCGATGAGAAGAGCAAGTAGTGCACTCGCTTACGCATCATTTAACAATGCATATATCAATTTCTCTTAATAATATAAATTAGGCCAAATATCTATTTTGGTCCCTTATAATCTTTTTTAGTTTTAATTTAGTCCCTTGTTAATTTTTTGTCTCAATTTGGTCCCAAACTAATTAATTGGTTTCAATTTAGTCCCTAACAAATTAATTGGTTTCAATGTGGGACTTTCGTCCAAATTTCTTTAACGGTATTAACTGTTGGCTATGTGGATGCCACGTAGATGCATAGGTGGATGTCACGTGGATGACTCGTGGATGCCAAATTTTTTGAAAAGCACTGGAACCAGAACGGGCCGTTCTGGATGCATTTTTGGTGTGTTAATTTTGCATCTGAAACGGGCCGTTCCAGATGCAAAATTAACACACCAAGAGTAGAGCAGAACGGTCCGTTCTGTAACCAGAATGGCCCGTTCTGGATTCAGAACGGCCGTTCCAAAACTGAGAATAGAATATTAATTTTTAATTTTATTAAAAAATATAATAATTTTGAAAATTATTTTTTTATGGTAAAAATTTTAAAATTACTTATTTTTATTAAATACAATTGTCTTATAAATAGAGTAATAACTTTTTCTTTTTCTTTTTCTATCTGAAAAAATATTTAAGTGTCACTTTATAATTTTTTGTAACTTATTTAAAATTAGAGGAATAAAATGATAAAATTTAATAAGATAAACATAATAAAATTATTAATTTATTTTCTTTTAGTGTTCTCTAAATTTTTACATTCATTTAAAACAAAAATATTTTATATGTTAATTTGAATTAATTTAACGAAGTATCATATGATTTTTAATTTTTTAAATTTTTTTATAAATTTGATCTATACATGAAAAACTTTTTAATTTAACAATTAAATTCTTAAAAATTTGATATAGAACATTAATTATTAAATAGAATAAATCTATCAAGACTTACTCTTGAAGTAAGTAAATTTTTTCTTCATTAAAAATGAAGATAATTTTACCACAAAATAAAAAACAATTAAACAATAAAATAAAATATAAAAATATTAATATATTTATTATATTAGATATAACAACATAATTAAAATATAATTATATATATATATATATTTTATAAAATTATTAATATTTTATATATAATAAAAAAAGAATGAAAAAATTTTTAGTGAGAGCAAGTGACCCCACTATGATTAACTTAGATCTGTCCCTGCATATAGTTGTGTGGTAAAATGTTAGTCTTGTGTATCATCTTCTTTTACTTTAGGTTCTACACTATATAGTCTAATTGTTTAGCAATTGAAGTTATCAATTTTCATTGACAATATTACCAAATTCAGTGTTTGACGGTGTTAACTGTTGGCCACGTAGATGCCACGTAGATGCATAGGTGGATGCCAAATTTTTTGAAAACCACTGGAACCGGAACGGCCCGTTCTGAAACCAGAATGGGCCGTTCTGGTTGCACTTTTAGTGTGTTAATGTTGCACCTGGAACGGGCCGTTTCGGATGCAAAATTAACACACCGAAAGTGTAACCAAAACGGGCCGTTCCGGTTTCAGAACGGGCCGTTCTGGTTCCAGTGGTTTTCAAAAAATTTGGTATCCACGTGGCATCTACCTATGCATCTACGTGGCATCCACGTGGCCAACAGTTAACTTCGTTAAAGAAATTTGGACGGAAAGTCCCACATTGAAACGAATTAATTTATGAGGGACTAAATTGAAACCAATTAATTAGTTTGGGACCAAATTGAGACAAAAAATTAATGAAGGACTAAATTGAAACAAAAAAAAATTATAAGGGACCAAAATAGGTTTTTAGCCTATAAACTATATTCGAAAGAGTATAATAAACAGTGTATTAGTTGCATTTCTTTCAGTATCTTTTATACACAAAAATGGCACCTTAAACCCACCATCATCCCCTTGTTTCTTGGACTATTTCCCATTGAAGAAAACTTAAAGATAGTTGTATGTAAATTCCCAAACTAATAAGAGTAATTTTTCCAGTAGCAAACTTGCAAACTTACTGAGAAGTATTAACAAGGCTACGTTCACCCATCTTTTTATGTTTCTATATACAAAACATTGTTCAGTGGAAGGATAAGCAAATTAGGAGGCAAGTTAGAAGCTAGAATGACATCTTTTAGAGTCAGTTCAACAACTTTTGAAAAGGTATGTAAAAATTCAAAGATGAACAATTAGAAGAAAAAATCATCCATAATTTTTTTTCCTATATATGGAAATAACTTTGACTTGAGAAGGAAAATTCACTAGCGGCTAGTGCATGGGAAAGTAATTTTCCCCCTTGAGAATAACTTGGCAAATTTTAAAAGCAGTAAACCAGGGCTCTATGACCTCAACTTCTCTCTTGAAACAACTTCAAGTAACTTGAAACTATTTGATCCTGTGAAAAGTCTGTGTAGTATCCCTTTCCCACAGAAATACCTTGTTCCCTTGCAAGGCTCTCAACTTCTTCTTGTACTCTTTCACCACCAACTTTATTTGGATCCAACAAATTACATGCCACCTCTATGACACCCTCACCATGTGCAAGTGCCATGGCCTGTACAGAAGGAAGTCCGCCACCTCTTCCACTGACACGTTTTGCAATTCTCCGAACAACGCTAATATCAGAAGATAATAGAGGGACATTGTAGTTATCAACCCAATTAGTTGCTCCAATCACCACAACACCTTTTGCTGAAGTAACTTGAGAAGGACCACTATCAGGACTCAGCGGCAAACAGTCTGATTTTAGCCCCCCGATCCACTGATTTTCGCTAGAATTTGGTTTAAAATAACCAAATATTCTTCTGATTGAGTCAAGTGTCCTCCCCTCTTCATGTGCTGCTCCATATAGATAAATGGGAACTGCACATAATTTTAATGATCACTGACATGCAAACATATAAAATATACACAGATGATGACTAACAGTTCTATAATATCAGTGATTAAAGTAGCAATTATAAAACTAATCACGAAGAGACAAGGAAATATCCAAACAAATTGAAATTTGGGAGCTAAGAAGATTTAGCCATACATGATTCTTAGCCAAGTATGAGTGGGGTTCAAGAAATTTTTTTCTACATAAAATTGGAGGATATTTGATTTTCCCATGCCATGTATAGTAATCTAGAAGATTAACTCAAATTATTGATCCGGGCTGAACAGTTAACTGGTAAGAACAAATTTGTAAAATAAAATTTTTGAGATTCTTTTTTGCAATCTAAGGTGATAGAACTGATAGGCGACTACAGCCAATCCCTGATCACATTTGGGGTGTAGTGGACTTCTATGTTTTTTTGAGCTAAGGTTTTATGTGCACAAATATAATAGTGCTGGTGGATTCTCTAAATAGTCAGTTTCGATACAGTGAATTTGCTTCTCTTTTGCCTTGGTTTTTTTCAGTCAAGGATTGTTTACATTAAACCTGTGTGTTCATTCCTCTTTCTTCTTCATCTCTATTGCACATTATTTCTAATGCTCTAAATTGGTAAAGAGAAAATAGACTATATACTAACAAACATCCAATCACAAATATCATGTATGATAGATTTGTTAACTTTTACATTAATTATCTTAAAAGTCATAACAATAATGAGTTCTGATTGGTTGATAGAGTCAGTATATAACCACTAAACTCTTAAGTAAACATTGTTCAACTTCTAACATCACGGTGTTAAGTATCTACAATATACCTTCCTATATTTTTTTAAATACCAAGAGTGATTACAATCTTCTGATGCAGCATAACACAAGTTAAGCAAAATTGAAGACCCTTAAACCAAAAAATCAATAGAACTAACCTTGAAGGCTAGAACCCATGTCTGTGGCTAAACACCTAGCAATGGTAGCTGCTTGATCCAAGGAAGCACCAAGCAAGGGGTGAAAACATATGTGGTCCACAACACCAAGGCGAGGATGAGTTCCAGAGTGCACCTCAAAGTCAATGGTGTCAAATGCAGCCTTGACCATTGCCAACACAGCATTTGCCAAGTGACATGGCCCTGAAGGACCCAATTGAGAGACAAGGGTGTAACCAACTCTGTTGTAGGCCACATCTTGGAACTTGTTGATTATGGGAGCCAAAGGGTAAAGCTTGGAAGCTCGTTCTATTGATTCCAATGCACTCCTGTTTCTGCTCTCTGATATGTATACCTTGCAGCAACCAACAATGGACTTCAACATGTTTCCTTACAAATTACAATCACCGCCACCTATGTGGATTGTGGAGTGAGTTAGACAACAAAAATCACTTACCTTGAAACCTGTGGCCACAACCCATTTCAGACCACAGGCACAATAACAAAACCTTATCTCAAATGCTGTTAATCAATATTTCTATTTTTTTTATAATAAAGATTAGTTATGACTTATGAGATGTGGAGAGTCAAGACACCTATAACAGGTAATTTTGGTGGATATGGTAAAGGTTATGGTAATCTTAAACATAGAAAAAACCAGGATGAATTAGAATTGCAAGATCGTACCCAACATGGAGATTTACTGATTTAGCGTTTCCGTGGCCGAAAAACATATATTATATTATGAAAGAGAGAGAAAACAAACTACAACTGCTATAAAACAGTTAAAATACCTGCTTTCAGTTCAAGCCTGGGGACGAAACAAACAAAGGAACTCGAGTCTCAGTTCACGCATTAGGAACCAAAGAATTTTCTTCGTTTTTTTTTTTTGGCCATGAAACCAAAGAGATACTCTCTTTGTACAATTTGGGAGCTCGTGGTTGTGGGCTTTTAATAATATGAAAACAAGCCCAGCCTGTAAAGTACTAATCGTGGCCCAATGGACTCAGATCTTCTCCCGTATCAAATTCGAAATGGGACCAAGCATATGTATTCGATAAATTTATTCTATATTTTTTTACGAGAATTTGAAAATCTTTTCGGTTCTGCTATCTCTCTTTTTTTTATTTCATTGTTTTCATCAGTTTAAGTATGATTTTATTTATTTCAATTTTTATCTAGGGTTTCATTATTTTTGATTTCGTTGTTTTCGTCAGTCTTTGAGTAGTAGTGTCCACTTTTTGTGTGTTGTTTAGCGGAAAAGAGAATCAGATGAGAGTGATGAAGTAATAATAGTGTGTATGTGTTGATGAGCTGCTATGCATCCTCTGTTTAACCCAAGAGAGTGATTGATGGTATATGTGTTCCTTTATGAAATGAGTGATGAAATAAAAAGTTGAAGATACTAACTTGATAAGTATTGGTATTAATATTGAAAATATAATAGAACTCAAGGAGAGAATCTCATTCGCAAGAGAAAGATATTACTCAACATATAGAAAGGTATAAATTAGAAAAGATGAAATGCAAATAAATAAATAAATAAGATATAACAATCAAAACTGATATAATATTGTTCCGGGGTCGAGAACACTTGTCTCCTTACTCCTTTCTTAGCTGTCTTCCAGTCTTTCCGAGTCTTCCGTGCCGACCGAATCACTAACTCCGAATGGTGGGGAGGGTACCTGCAAAGGCACTCCGACGATCAAGTCAGTGTTCGGTTTAGAGCAATAAATGTGCTAGTGGGAGTAGTAACGTACCTCATTTATGTCATACTACCTGTATATTTATAGTGACACAATTGGGCCTGGTGGGCCTTCAGTCTTGGGAGACGGGTAACCCTTGAATTAGTCTTAATCTCCTCTTAATCTGTCATGGTAATCAGTGCATAATAAGTATCTTACTCGCCACGTGTTGTTTGTGACCTACTTGTCGAAGTCCTCGGCTAGGCGTAAGGCCGAAAGGGTGTTCGGCTTCCCCTGAGGCCGAAAGGGTGTTCGGCCTAGGTCAATGCCGAGGTGTTTGACTCGTCCTTGATGGTCGATTTGTGGAAGTCCTCTGCTAGGTATGAGGCCTAAAGGGTGTTCGGCCTCCCCTGAGGCCGAAGAGGTGTTCGGCCTCCCCTGAGGCCGAAGAGGTGTTCGGCCTCCCCTGAGGCCGAAGAGGTGTTCGGCCTCCCCCGAGGCCGAAGAGGTGTTCGGCTTGGGCACCCCTCTCGGCCTATTGCCTGACCGAAGGGGTGCCTCCTACGCCTCATGGTATGACCCTTCGGTTCGGGGCCCCCCCTTCGGCCTATCGTCTGACCGGGGGGGTGCCACACGGTATATTCCTTCGGTTCGGGTACCCTTCTCGGCCTGTTGCGTGACCGAAGGGGTATTCACAGGTACAAATATAGTTAATCAACTTATGTAAAGAGTCTAATCTCCCTTTTCTAGGCTATCAATTCACTTCTAAATTCTGTTATGTTCCTTCACTTTACTGTTTTCCACTCGTTCCTTATTCATGTTTTTTATTTTTAACTTTCTGAACATTGCATAAAATATATATAATTCAAATCTTCCACATAAATAACCTCTTGAAAATTACATTAAATATAGTTATGCCAAATGAAACAGAGAAAACAAGGCTAATTTCTATGCTAAACCTTTCAGTTATCATCACCAATTCACTATTAAAAAATTGCATTGAATATAATTTTCATAACCTGGTTTTAATTCTATTATGATCACAACTTGGTATGGGTATGGAAAATGAAATCCAATAGGCTAGATTCAACTACACTGTCCCCACAAAAATATCTAATAACATTTTATCCAAATTGTTCGATTTACAACACAGTTACTAGTATCTAGACCTTTCCCATATTAAGGGACTGTTGCTTGAAATGTAGAGGCAGTCATATGGTTTGTTGAAGTTCAAAAGCATAAATTATTAGGCAATCTTGTTTCCTCTACTACCTTTTATTTCAATGTTTACTATTGTTATTTTTATGTTTTATGTTGGAATTTTTTATTTTGGTATGCATGTGGCACTGTGGATATGAGATATGATACCCTTGATTTGATATGAGGGAGTGGCATAAGCAAGATAGAGTCAAGTGTGCATGAAATTCGAGGAAGTACTATGTTGTTGTTCAAGTGTTCATTGACATTGTAACAACTCATGATCCAAATCCTTTGAACTAGATGCTACAACCCCAGATGTTATTACTATCTTTAAATGCTACTTTTTTAGTCCGATATAAGTGGAAATATGAAGAGTATATTTTGTCACTATATTACTACTATGTATCATTTGTCACTTTTATCCATGTATCATTTGTCACTTTTATCCATTAAATTTGATTGATGTATTTTGTAAGTGTTTATTGAATCACAATTTCATTAAAGACAATCCATCCTTTTAGATATCATATACTTTTGTGTGATATTACTTTATTTGCATATTATTATTCGTTCTTCATTGTACTTCTAAATGAAGATAAATGGTATAATATATATGATGACATCATGTTCTGAGCTTAATTTTGAAAGAATCAAGATGAATGGGTTAGATTTGAAGAAAGAAAGTCTAAGCTCTTATCGAGTCTTAGGTCCCTTTTTAGCTTGTTTTCTCTTTCCATTCTTTATGTATATGTTTCCTAGTAAATATTTTTCTTTATTTTGATTTTATATCTTAGATCGAGTGCATGGATTTTTGTCCTTGTATTAATTCTTAGATTGGGGTGTAATTAGTAATTTAAGAAATGTGTAACTAGAAAATGACCATTTGTTAATCTTGGGCTTGGATGGGTCGAATGTTTTTTACACATGGTCAAACATGGCTTGGTTATAGATGTATGCATGGTTGGTCCAAGTGGATTAGATGACCAAGATATGTGGGGACCACACGTCTCCTAGTTCATTCAAGTGACCAACATGTCACATGATCTTGTCTAGTCACATCAAACACATGTGTCACTAGAGCTGTCAAGGCCCACCTTGATCTACTTTAAAAACGAGCCAACCCAACCTGACTCACTTTTGATTTTTTCAAAAAAAATTTGGCCCAGCCCGGCCCACTATGGGTTGGTGGGTTATACAGGCCAGCCCACCAGCCCACCAAAAATTAAAAAAAAATTATCAACAAGATTCAAAATTTTAAATTAATTATAAATTAACATAATAATCATAAAATTAGCATCATTAATAGTCATAAGACATAATTCATCATACAAAATTAAATACAATTCATGATAAAAGTCTAAAATAAAAAATTTTCAATATCCCATTATATAAAATTAACTACAAATCATACTTAAATTTTTATTGCAAAAAAAATGGTGGATTGGTGGGCTACCCGACCCACCAAGGGTTTAGCCCGGGTGGGCCAGGTTGGCCCACGGGTCCCGGCCCACTTTGACAGCTCTATGTATCACATGTCAAGTTTTTATTGACTCACCTCGATCTAGATGTTGGCTTGTCCACATGGCAAGCCTCTATTGGCTACTTTAGATCTAGATATTGGCCTCTGGTTGGCTTATTTGGATGAAATTTAGTTAGCCATAGTTAAGGATTAGTTAGCTTAAGTATACACTAAACTAGCTTGGCTTATTTTTTAACTTAGGTTAGCTTAGTTTTCACTATAAGCTACTAATTCCTAGACAAGTCTTTTAACTTGTGTATTCAAATCACTTTTGAGTTTATATGATATTGAATTCATAAATTCTTTCTTCTCAAAGTCTTTGTTTTCTCTTGATGAGTAACTTCTCTTTAAGTTCTTTTATCAATGAATCTTTCTTGTGGCAAGAATAACCTTTTAGCTTATCTTTCTCCATAGAAAGTGGCATAGACATTTTTGTCCTTTTCCATCATTTTTTTTGAGTTTGAAGCTTCAAAAAATCATGAAAGAAGATATGGAGTTTAATGGAGACTAAAAGAGAAGAAACTACAACCACTTCTCCACTAATTTTCATTTCTTTTTAAAAAAACTTTTCTTTAAAAAAATGGATTTTTCTAATGTTAATTATTTTTATTTAAATTTATTTTATAAAGTACTACTAATGTCGTTATGGTCCATAACAACCCACTTTTTTTTTCATATTTTTCATTTTTATTATTTTAACATTTTTTTCAACACTTTTTTTTCTAGTTTTTTAAGAGCTTTTGTTTATAAAAGTGGATTTTTTTGAATGTTAATTATATTTATAAAAAGTACTACTAATTTATTTTGGTTGAGTGAACTATTCTAGGTTATTTTAAAAAAAAATATTTTTTGTAAATTATTAAAATATTTTAAATGATTAACTCTAAAATAAATTTATTTAAAAATATATTTTTAATTTTTACAAAAAAAATAATTTTAAAAAAATGAGCCATCTAAGGAGTTAAAACTGTCGATGGCGACATTACTAAGTCGCTACAGCTAGTAGCGACTTGTGCACGGCAATTTCAAGCCTTTTCAAAAAAAAATTACACATGGTATTAGTGTCGCTATGGCTCATAGTGACATTGTAGTAAACTGTTCTAAAGGTGTAAATAATTTTAAAAAACCCCATTTATGTAATTAGTTTTTAAAAAAACCCTAGAATGATTGATCAGTCTTGGACTCATAAATGATAACTTTGGTATAAATAAAAACCTTTTGTACCAAAGAAAAATAGATTACACATTCTGAATGTTTCA